AATTAAACTACATTACTGCTGCCTTGTCTCTCTGCAGTGTCTGAAAAAAAGGCAACAGTGCAAAAGAGATGAAGCATCTACAGGAAATAAATCTGACCTACCCATGTTCACCTAGCAATCAGATGCACCAGAAACTTTAAGTCAAACCTCCTCAGACCTCTTAAAGGACTTCTTTCACACATGATTCTTTCTGCTTTCAGACTAAAAATTATTTTTTTTCCCTCATCAAAAGCCAAGTGAAAAAATAAAGACATACTTCCTCCCCCTCTGTCCCCCCAAATTTCTGCAGTCTTGCTATAATGCTTAAAAAATACACGCAAACAAACTGGAAAGCACCTAGAATAAAGAAACCATGGGACCTTTCAAGAAGTTAAGGAAGACACAATGTGAATCAACTGGCTGATTGGATGAATGGATGAAATCTTCTAAAAATCATGAAATAAAATAATCAAATAAACAGTGCCAGAACAACCCTCTACCATTTTATGCAACAGGATTATTCAGCTGTTTGTTTATTAAACAATATAAGGATTGCAGGCATTTCTGCCACAGGATCCAGTCCAAGTTTCACTAACTTTGATAGCCCTGGATCAAGTCCATGGTAAACATCCAGTGTAAATTCAATCCTATAAACAAATGTCCACATAGATGCAGCTCTACAAATATTTAAAGATACTTCACTGTTATTATTTTGATAGCATATTACATACACATATAACCTTTCCAGCCCACCAGTTCCCAGCTGCTGAGGAAGGCATGACTTAGAAGAAAGAGCATTAGCTCCAGAGCACATCAGAGACCACGTCAATCAATTCCCACAGTCTGGCCTGGCTGGGCTTCTCACCAGCACCGCTGGAGCAGGTGGCAGAGTCAAGGAAGAAGCAAGCAAGCAGTAGTAGCAGGTAGGAGAGGGAAAAGCTGAGCCAAGAGGAACCAGGTGACAGTGGGAGTAGCAAGACCCGCGTAAAAAAAAAAAAAAAAAAAAAGTCAGGAACTCTGTCACAGCCCACCACGTTAGCAAGGAGATGCTGCCTTTTGAACCCTCCACTGGCAGACAGCTTCTCTGCTGCATCCACCACAAACTGCCTGCCTCCACTAGCAAGAAGCCCTCCTGTGACCCATCATCTCCTCCGCCTCTGCAGCAAGGTTCACATCTCCCAAGAGTTACCAGCCAATTACAGCCACTACCAGATTTTAAAACTGGTATATCTGTGCTCTTTCAAATGGCGCCTTCAATGAGGATTGCAGCTCCGAGATAATCTCCAAGAGACATTCAATTTTCTTCTTCAGATTATTCCTTAAAACTATTTTTGCCATAAGGCCTACACAAAATGTGCAGGCACGCATACAAGTCTTTACAATAGTTTGACAGTGCACCCAATATTGACACATGACATTGTTTCCCAGTACTCTCTCAGCCTTGTGGTTTGGGGTTTTTGGTTTGTCTTTGACTGCCAGTTCTCTGCTGCAGGGTTCATCTTTTGTGGTAGGTATTGTGGAAACCTAAAACAATTGATTCTGGTACATACCCAAGACTCTGAGGTAATATTATAATAAAAATTAATGAGAAAGGGATGCAGTTCTGGCTATGGATTGATTCTGTGGTCTTTTTTCCACATAGCAGGACCCCAGGAGTAAAAAGTGTAAATAATATTGTTTCAGAGTTATCCTGCTCATTCCAATCTATTCCTGTTCTTATTACACTGTTCAATGGTAATTTTAGGGGTAAGACCCACCAGTCCACCTCTGCCTTCAGCTTTAGAGATGGTACACTTTCCCAAAAGCAAAAGGCATTTAGTCCTTTCCCGAGACTTTGTTTACAGCTAGAAAATTTCACCTTAAGAGCAACGTCATCTTTGTTGTTTCTATGTGCTTTGATTACATGTCATACCTAGGGAATAAAGTCATGTCACATTTGGAAACCATTCTGTAAAGGTAGGAGGGTCCTGAACATCAGGTCTGACAAAAAGAAGGTAACCTGAATCCATTGCATTCTTTCCTTCATCTAAGGTGACAGGAAAAAGAGAAGTTACAGAACATGTGAAACTTTTTACAGCAGTACATACCCCTTGTTATCAAGTTCCAACAAATCTCACATGCCCCAAAGTCTTCAAATCAAAAAAAACCATACAAAACCCTAGGGAAGTCATTAGTTTCAAGTAAAGGGATGATATGTCCATACACCTCAAAATAACCTACAGCACCAGCATACAGCCATGCCAGCTCCAAATTCTCTACGGGACAGAACTAAATGTTACTGAAGCAAAACAGCTCCTTTATAATCTTTTCCTTTGGCACTATCTTTCAGGCAGTTCTGTGTATTCAGCTCTGGGATGAAAGACAGTGGCTGCTGTCTTGTTCCCCCTGGGAGCTAGTTGCTTCTCTGTCTTCATGTACCGTATGGGAAGGTAAAAGTACAGTAACTTCCTCACAGGCATAAAGGCAAAAAACCAACACCAAATCAAGGCCTTACACATTTACCTTACAATGCAATAACTAAAATCAATGCCATCCAAAAAAAAAGGAAAAAAAGAAAAAAAAAATCTAAATTCATAACAGTCTCATTAATGAATTCATACAGTAAGGGAATAGTCTCACCATGAAGAAAGAAATGCTTCGTGTTTCAACAGTTTGAGCACAAATGTCATTTGGCAAGAAGCAAAAACCAAGTGATTTTCCAGCTATTTAAACACAAAGCACAGCTTCAAGCTAATGAATGCTCTACCAGACTAGCCAAACTCTAATAAATTTGTACTGTAAAGAGTGGAAGAGGCTTATGTCAAAACCATCACTGAGCTAATAATATATGAACTCGTACTCTACAGTGAAGCTCTATGAGGGAAACAGAACAAAATAATCCACCTTGCAGTTTTATACAAACAGACAGAAGCCCCCTTTCAGGTGCAACAAGGATGTAGCTCTCTACTTGCACTCAAAAGACTGACTTCTATAAATCCCTCAGTGTTAATGGCACAAGAAATTAAGACTGCCCAACTTGAACTAGACTCGGGAAGAGAGGATGTGTTCATTGAAAAGGTAAGGAATAAAGTCCCACAGAACTAAAAGAAATCCCAAAGCCCTGCTCTAAAATAAACTTATGCTCTTGTACTGTCATTCATTTTGACTGACTGATTTATAGCTGGTATTATTCTTCTCTAAGATGCCAAAACAAACCAATCTTATAGGTTGCTGAATTTATTTCTGCACTCTGTTCTTTCTTTTCAAAAGCTGGTTCTGACTGGCAGCAAAAAAACTGTGCAAATCAACACTACCATCAGTGATACTTGCTTCTTGATGAGCATACCAATCAAATAAGCACAATTATTTATACCACTACTGAGAAAATGCACACTGCTTTTAAACAGATGTTGATTAATATTGGTCTTTCCTCCCAGAAATTGATTTTCTCCACCAATTAAATACTGTCCCAACAAATACAGTTCTAAATCTGCCCTAGAATTTATAACATTGATCTTAAGACCATTTCCTTTCCGTGTCACTAAACCCATGGTCTTAACCCTTACTTACATGGACAATCCCACCACTTCAATTTTCTTTCTGAGCATCTTCATGTTGTCTCCTACTCTCCTTTTTATGCAAGGAGGACTACCAAGAATATCCTCTTCTCAAAATTTCTCCTTAAAAAGCTTTCCTCTGCAATGACACCTAAAGGAGACAACTCAACAGTGGCTGAACACCTGCTATGCAAAGATGTGCTCCTCTTTCAGGAACCTTATTTGGCATTACCCTTTTCTTCTTCTCTCCCCACATTAGCCTTCTTCTGATCCTCTCGTTATATTCCGATACTGCAAGCTCTCTCACTCAATGCTAAAAATGAAAATCATAAAGAAATCACAGTCTCTGTTACAACTCCAAATTGGCTGTCCAGTGGCTATAGAGCCATGCTTCACAGGCTTGCCCATGGCATACTGGGACCAGGGGCAGCATGGAAGCAGTGATGAAAAAATTGTTCCACCTTTGTTTTCTTTGAACACGGTCAAGCACCTGCATTTAAACTTTACAGATAAAAACAACCTCAGTTATGGCCATGTGCTAGTTAATGCTTCCAGACCTTATACATTCTGATGTTTTATGCTAGGAGCTATTGCCTACACACACAAAAAACCCCCACACAACCACTGCAAGCCAGAAGCACTTTAGTCAGAAAGGTATTTGTAAAACTTGTAAAAGGTATTATTAATATTCTAGGCCTAATATTCAAATTTATTAATGCTGACAGCTTCTTTTGCCAACAGAATTATCACTGAAGGAGTGATAAATTGCGTATCAATGGGCAAATTAGCAACTGGCATCTCCAATGTTTGGCAGTGACCAAGACCCGTCAGTTCTTACCAAATCACTGGTAATGCTTTATATTGCAGGTACATGAGCCTTATTTAAAAGCAGCCAATGGACCAGGGAAGAGGAAAAGGGAAACACTACAGGGGAGAAAAGTTTACAGTCTACCCCATCTGAACCATGGCTACAACATCACTCTTTTAACAGGCCACCTACGTTTATGCAACTACATGAGAGGAGAGTATGTTAATTAAGGCATATTTACTCATAGGGAAGAGTTGGAGCTCTCCACTAGGTACAGACAGACTTAAAAAAAAAAAAATCTATTAGAACTGAATTTCATGTAGGTTTTATCAGCACCATGGACCTTGTCAAGTTTAACTGACTAGACTCTCATTGGCATTTTTAAATATGCAAGTTTGAAAGAAGCAGCAGACGTGATCTTCAAGATCTAGGACTATCAACACTAGGTTAACAGAAAGGGAAAGGTCAGACACTTTCAACAAGAAGGAAATAAGTAGCAAGACAACAATATTTCATGGCGCAATTTAAGATATACACAATTCTAGCTGTACTATCAAAGATCCTTTCTTTATTGATAAGAACAACAATACCATTACCTATCTGCAGAAGACTTAACAGATTAGACAAACAAACACTGACTCAAACATAACATTACGCCTCCAAACCTCACTGCTGACCTTCTACTAGCTGGTCCAAGGAGGAAATCTTCTTGGAGCCATCAATGGTGTAGATTGTTCTCACTCCCTGGGGCAGATTCACGTTGTCAGACAGAGTTCGGGTCAGATCAGCCAGGAGAGCTTCAAAGGATCTAAACCGGTCAGGGGAGATGGCATATACAATCCCTTTGAAATACCGGTCTCCATTACGATAGAAACGAACTTTCTTGGCTTTTTTCTCAGAACTCAGGGTCTGTAGAGTACGGGTTCGGTAAAAGCTGCAGTGGGCACTGTGAGTAGGGCTGGGCAAACCATTTACCCGGGACCCTCTGCCATATCGCTGCGCTTTATCACGCTCATCAAAATGCTCCAGCTCCATATCTCTCCCAAAGGACATCTTGAAATTCAACCTAAGGGATGCACAAAAGAAGAGAAAAAGTTTAAGAAACTTAGGCGTTTTAAGGGACCTCACTTTCAGACTTCACGTTCTATATACGGCACTTACAGAGGACTACTTTCCAGGCTGAGAAAAATGCTTGAATGAAACCGTGCTACTTTCACATGTTCATTTTGCAACTAACTCTCTTGCCATGCCATAAACCCTAGTTTATAAGTTAGGCTTTTATACACCATAGAAATGCCACTCGTGAAACCAACCATTAGCAATGCAAACATTAAAAAGTGTTTGTTCAAATTCAGTAAGAACTCTGAAAATGAGGTGACAAAGTTGATCTACTGGAAAAAAAGAAAAAACACATCGACTTTCTACTCTTTCTCATGTTATATTCAGGCACTGTTTGAGTCCAGTCTACCTTCTAATCACTCGCACACACTAAACCGTTCCAGCTGTGATCTCAAGAGGTGCCATTTCAGAAGGGCAACCAGTTGCCAACAAGTGAGCAATTAAGAACTTCTCAGAGGAATAGATGCTGCAGGTTGGTGATGAGGATCAGGGCTATCACTGCCAGTATGTGGAATTAGTGGGTGAAACTCACTATTCAAAAGTCCTCACGTATTCCAATTCCCTACAGCCTAAGCTTTGTAATAAATTACTTCTGTTGTCCTTGTGCAAATACTTTGCACACTCTGAACCAACAGAAGAGCTTAAATGACATGAAATAAAAAAAAAAAGATTAGAGCAAGACAGAAAACTAGTATTTTTCAGTGAGCAAGTTACTTTAGTGCTTAATAAAATTTGCAAGAGGTTTTATTAATATCCAAGGCCTAATATTCAAATCGATTGAGGCTGAGAGCTTCTTTTGCCAACAAAACTACCACTGAAGGGGTGATAAACTGAGTATCAATGGGCAAATTAGGGATCGGCATCTCCCATGTTTGACAGTGACAAAACCCCATCAACTCTGACCAAAATGATCTCAGTTGTTCAATATCGTTCACATAAATGGAAGTTCAGATGTTCTGAAATGAAATCAGGGAGGTAGTTACTTCCGTTCCTTTTTACGACCCCCACAAGACTAAATACTTCAAACTGCTCATTAATCTTTACAAATAAAAGAAGAAAAAATACAGAAAAAAAATTAGAATTACCAAAATATCATTGGGTTCAAAACGCATTTCTTTTGATTTAAGAGCCATCTAGATTTGCAGTTGTCTGCAGAACAGCAAAGCAAAGTTTATTTATAGCACAGATACACAGACCCAATTTAGAAGTGGTCTCTCTCATCGATTTCCAATAGAAGAAAAAAAACAGCAAGCACAAGCTTCATTTCAACCACTCAGAATTGTGTGACCATTAAGAAAAAAAAATATATTCAGACCAGCTGTAAAACAGTAGGAGGAAATAGAGAAAGACTTACGGATGCTCTTTAGCGTACCGAAGTTTGTATTAAACCAATGATTATACAGCTGGACCCTGATGCTGCAAAGCTGTAGGGGATGTGCTGAACAACTTCTGAGAGCTGTTCACATGCTTAACTAGAACAAGCACCTACAGCTCACAACTGCAAGTGCAGGGCTGTGGTGGAAATTATTTATCCTGCTTTGGTTACAGCTCACAACTTACTTTGTTACACTGGCACAGGATCATGTGCTTATGTATATATGCAACAGTTATATTTGTAAATACTTTAAAGGTACCTAACATATTTATATACAGTGCAGTATATGTGCGTGTGTGTATATGTTTGTGTATACATATATAAACATAAAGTCTAATCTACATTTTTCCTCCTCAACATACTACACACAGAACACCCCACTTCAGCGAAAAGAACAAGAACATTTGCTGTGCCATTTCACTGACACTTCTCTGTGGATTAAATACAAAATATCGCTTCGTGGCCACAGCTTAGGGTCTAGACTATGCCACTGACATCTCCAGGCTAAAAATTATTTGTAAGTTGTTTTACTTCATTTCTAATTCCACTGAGAACCTGTTATTCAGATTTAAACAATCCTAGAGCTCACAATTCAGAAACCATATCTCAAATGCAATGCCTGTGCCAAGCAAAATGGATTTTTCTCAGGTCTGCTGTTTCATTTGCTCAAACCATCTCAAGCACACACACACACACAAAAGGAAAACCAAGTTTCCATGAAGATATGCTTTCTCAAGAGGCTTTCAGCTTTACTAATTTTGGATGAGGGGAGGAAGAAGCGCGAATCACTGCCCTTTCTTCCGCACACTTATGCTTTAATCAATAATGGCTGTAATTCCCAATTACGCCCTTTAAAACAGAAATAGAGCTCCCCTTGAACACCAGTCCTGCTATTTAAAGGAAAGCGTGCTCAAAGCACAAGGTCAGAGCAGACAAAGAAATCCTAAACAATTTGATCCAATCGGATGTTTTGTGTGTGTTTAAATACATCCTCATATGCATACAGCTACAGGAAAATGAAAGGACACACCCCTGGAACACCACCATGCCCAACACTTCACACCCTATACATCCGTTAAAGAATTATTTATGATGCACGTGTGGGTGAGCAATTACATAAAACAATCATATACATGCTGATTTAAAAAAAAAAAAACAAAAAACATTCCGCGGCGATGTGACTGGGACCCGGCGAAGATCATTCAGGGACGAAGCAGCGGGCTGA